ACGTAGGCTTCTTATAAGCCTTCGCTTAAGTTGACTCCGCTCTTCGTTATGCTCAGAGCCAGGTGGGATGAGTTTACGAGCATCTATCAGTGCGGTAGATGCTGCCGAGATCCATTGTTTCTCCCTAACGTTATGGTTTACCTTACTAGCAGATATCACTGCTGTTTCCACAGCTTTTCGGATGTCATTCCACGCTGCCTCGGGGTGGACACAACTTACATGGCTGCCTAACTGTTTTCCTAGTTGTTCCTGAAATATATTCTTAGCTTGCCTATCATTAAGTAGAACCCTTAGAGGCTTCCCTGCAGTGTCTTTCCTACGTCCAGTAAGACGCAGACAGATACGTGCTCGCACTAGAGCATGATCTGAATCTAAGCATGTGCCCCAGAATGAGCGACAGTCTTCTATCGAGCCCCTCCATCGGTGGCTGATAGCGATGTGATCTAATTGGGTCCAACGTTGGGACGAATTCGGGGGTCGCCATGTCAAAAGATGTTTTTCCTTATGCTTAAAGTTAGTATTTGCAAGAAATAGGCGGTTATCTGAGCATAGCTGCAACAGACGGTCGCCATTATCTGTTCTTTTCGCCATGACACCATAAGATCCACCCAGGTGTCCTTCCCTTTCACTTAGTTTACCTACTTGAGCATTAAAGTCACCTGCTACTATTACTACATCAGAACGCCTAGCTTCTCGGAGAAGGTCAGAAAGTTTCCTGTAGAACTCATCTTTTATATCGTCTGAGCTGCGGTCAGTGGGAGAGTAGGCAGAGACGACGAAGAGGCAACGACGAGTTTCCCTATCTTTCCGGGTCCTTACTGATCCGTTTAGTCGGACAGCGCATAGACGACTGTCTACTGGGATCCAGTCTAAAAGAGTTAGTTCTGCCCTACGACTTAATGCTATACCTACTCCAGCGAGGCCACGGGAAGCAGCATCAGGGCTTCCAGATACACGAAGCGTGTATCGAGATGAAACTTTATTTTGATTAGGTGCGGTCAAATGAATGACACTACTCGGATCTTGTATGCGCGTTTCGGAGACGCAGCACACATCGATGGTGTAAGATTCTAGAGTCCTAGCTAAGGAAGCCTGTTGTCCTATTTGGCACAATGTTCGGACATTAAAAGTTCCTATATGTAGTTTAGAGCGTGGTTTCAGGAGACCAGGAATAACGTTCCGTCTACTCGAATCGTTTGCCCTAGCGGTGCGAGGTGATAAAAGGACGTGGGAAGGGTTAGTCGTGGAGATAACAGAGTTATTAGGTGTAGGAAGGATTTGAAAGCGACCAACTTGGTCTTGTGTGCAGTTAAGGGTATGAGGGCTAGTATCACTTCCCGGCTGCCCACACCGTGGAAGGGTATTTCTTGAGGGACCTGAAAAAGAAGTTGGATTAGTGTTGGTCTTAACGACCTGGGAGCGTGACCGCAGAGCCCAAGGGACATCTGCTTGAGGCCGGTCACGCACGGCCTTTTTGTGGGGGATTTTTGATGTGTTAGCTCCGTTCTTCAAAAGTCCTTACCGCCGGAGACGGAAATCCGTGGGATAAGGCGAGGTGTGCATTTTTAGGGTCGACCTTTTCTAACCCCACCCCTCCTTGTGGGAAGGCAGCATCGCTGTCATGCTGGTTGTCTGAAGGAAACACCTTACTGCTTTCACACCTCTGTACAGTCAGCAGTACGACTTCGCCTTCGGACCTTGGGATTGCTGCTTTTAGTCTCACCGCTCTTCAACCGACCTGTCTGGCATGGTAGGACCTTGAGGAACGATTGTTCCAGCCAGCATAGCTCGATTGGATCATCACGATAGGCAAGCCCGACCACCACGTCAAGGTAGCAGCAACGGTCGGGACGAAGGCCATCATTCAGAAGATACAAGTGTTTATTAACAGTTGTCTACGCAAGATACTTCGGATTCGTTGGCCAGACACTATCAACAACAACCTACTGTGGGAGAAAACAAACCAGAATTCGGCGGAGGAAGAAGGGCTGGAAGTGGATAACGCACACATTGAGGAAATCACCCAATTGCGTCACAAGACAAGCCCCCACATGGAATCCTGAAGGTCAAAGGAGAAGAGGAAGACCAAAGAACACATTACGCCGAGAAATAGAAACAGACATGAGAAGAATGAACAAAAAAATGGATAGAACTAGAAAAGAAGGCCCAGGACAGAGTGGGTTGGAGAATGCTGGTCGGCGGCCTGTGCTTCATTGAGAGTAACAGGCGTGAGTAAGTAGTTTCCTTTCCGTTCCTAATCACTGAGTTCTATTTCCAGTTTACAAATGGGTACTAATACACTACACAAGAAAATATTTGTTTAGAATCGGGTGGATTTATGTAGTGTTTGATCTTAGTTCTTCATTTAAGTGTCTAAATGGGAAAATTCGCATGGGATTTTTAGGGAAAAGCATTATGAGTCTGTCGTCTGAATGTGAGCCAATATAGTCTGGCCAAAAACTTCTGAATAGTGCATTAAGTGGTCACATGACGCATGAGATTTCCGTCTGGTTCAGTTGTTGTCAGTCAAACGGCTACAACGTAGGAGCAGGCACATATGCATCAGTACAAGTTGCCACACCTCATTAGCACAACAAAATGAACATCAACTTCATATAAGTAGTTACTTTAGCTATTCTGCCTATTACGTTATGACTCGTGGCTTCCACTCCGTTTTCTCTCTTGGTGTGAAGTTCTTGATTAACATTGCGTGTTGTGGTTTCAGATCATCTCCGCTTTTGTGACTGTTGATAACACGTGTTACGATATGACTAAATAGCATCTTGAAATTATAACTGACATCAGTTCGTGGTATGAAAAACAACTTGTAAAACCTAGACTTAGTAAATTTCGCTGGTTTATAACACTTTTGACCCTAAAAAATTTCACGCAGTTATTTTACTGCCACTGAGCTAGTTGGGATCAAAAGCAGCCCTATATGGTCATTCAGATAAAACTATTAGAATTATTATGCATGGTACTAATAATGGGGACCTATTCTTTTTATTGCTAGTCGAAGAGGGAAACGAGTTGGGACAAAATAAGCGAACCTAACGTATATTGGACTTGTGGGATAATGTATGAGGCTATTCCGTACATTGCCTTCCTTTTACACAGTATCTGTGTAATTTAATCTGTTGTGCTGCCATGTTATGTCCTCTCTTATCGAGTATTCACTGAATACAGTCTGTGGTTAAACTTTAGATCTTCCCTGTATCCCAGTAAACACTATTTACTTATGTTATACACATGTGAAACGCGTACGGTGGAGTGGAGGAGCGATCTAAAGCTCTGGCTTGAGGCTTCATTTCGAAAGATGGCGGTTCAGAGTCCCAACTCCATCACCACTTGTAACACTTGCAGCATTGACACACTTGATGGTAAAAGGAATCAATAAAAATCAGAAATAACATAAGCGTGAGATTAGGACAAACTGATATCCGAAAATAGTTGTTCGAATGTGCTTCAAACCAACCACAAAAATCCTTGTCATTAGTTTGGACCTAAATGATTGGATATTTAACTTCTAACTATGGACTCCAAATAACATTCACGTATTTCAGATTTAGATTTGTGTAGTAAGGACAGAAGGCCTACGGCTTATGTTATTCCTTTTCTAGTATGCTTCTGTGAATGGCAAGTGTTCTCTTGAATGAGTCAATTGAAAGTGCGGACACCACTGCTTCGGGCATCAGGTTCCAAGTATTGATGACTCGGTGTGAAAACCTGTAAGCCACGGGTATTTTGTTCGTTAATGGCTGTTCTACTGGCCTGTTATGTCCTGATCTAGTGAGAAGAAAAAGAGAGAATAAGTTAGGTTCAAAATTATTTCTCAGGATTCTGTACATCAAAATTAGGTCTCCCCCTAGTCTACGATACCACAGAGTAAAGAGATCCAGCTTTTTAAGCCGCTCTTTTTATATTAAACCCCGGAGTTCTGGAATGGCATGGGTAGCTGCCCTCTGTACATTTTCTAGGATATCCGAGTCATCTTTTAAACAGGGGCATGAACGCAGTTCTCAAGCTTAGTTCTCACAAGGGTTGTGTATACTGTAGTGAACATGGTAGTATGTAACTTAGTTAATAACCGTTTTAAAGCCCAGAGGGTTCTAAACTCCTTAACTGCAACCTACCGGCGATGGGCCGTGGCCATATGATCAGGACTCACTGTCATCTCTAGATCCTTATGAGACCGGACCACGGGTACTCGCACTTCCTCTAAGCTGTACCTATTTACCTTTGTATCCCCAAAGTGCACGTAGACACACTTTGCCGCATTGATAGGCATCAGCCACTCTTCAGACCAGTTAATCACATTATTTAAGTCTGCCTGAAGAGTACATGCGTCTGCGTCTTCAGTTATTTCTCGCTAGATTTTTACATCGTCAGCATATAGTAATATTGGGGACTGTACTATACTTGAGATCATTTACATACAGTATGGAAACTAAAGGATGTAGGATCGAACCTTGAGGTATTCCACTAAGTACTGGTCTTCAGGTGGAGTACTTGGAATTTATTCTTACTTTCTCTCTACGACCTACTAGGAAATACTTGGGCCGGTCCGGCAATACCAAGATTTTCTAACTTCCGTAACAGTCTATTTGTTGACACCTTTTCAAAAGCTTACTGAAGTCTGTGTAAACAACATCCATTGAGTTTCCGCTGTCTAGCGCCTTTACCCAAAATTTCCATGCTATAAGGAGGTTCGTCGTACAAGATAAACCCTTTTTAAAAACATGTAGTTCGTTGTTTAACAGGTTATTGGTTTCCATAAATGTTATTATGGTCTTTTTAATTATTCTTTCCAATATGTTAATTACAACACTGATGAGGATTACAGGTCTGTAGTTTGATGGAAGTTGTCTTGGTCCTGTTTTATGTATGGGAGTGACGATTGCATCCTTCCAGCTCGTGGACAACACCTTGGTCAAGTGACACATTGGATGTCACAATCAGTAGGGCTGGGATTGTAGTTCATCCAGTCCTGTTGATTCTTCCAAAAAATGGATAGAACTAGAAAAGAAGGCCCAGGACAGAGTGGGTTGGAGAATGCTGGTCGGCGGCCTGTGCTTCATTGAGAGTAACAGGCGTAAGTAAGTAATTGACAGTCATTCCCAAAAACTTCCAAAAATCTACAGTACACCAACGTTTAACGTTATGAAAATACAGTGCTTGAGTGTATCATCAAGGTTGTTTCGGCAATGTTTGGCATTGCGTATTTTAAATTTAATGCCCAGCTTCTCACCTACCATCTACATTAAAAATGAACAAATAAAGGGGAACGGTATATGTACTTAAATATTTCACATAACAGCAAAGTAACGTCTAGAATCTCACTGATACATTTGACGTTCAGTGAAATCTTGTTTCATTCATTATGCGTATATTGGTATAAAGTTTGACAATATGTGCTCAACTGGGGCTTATATTTCGGTCGTTCCGACACGACAGTATCGTACATCACTAAATGAGACATTTGAATTTTAACTTGTGGATCGTGGAAATTGAATCTCACTGTCTATCAGAATGTGGATTATCAGGCTGCACAGAATTACGGTTACAAACTGTTTTAGTGATTGAGTTCCATAGAGTTGTGCATTACTAGACAATAGTAAGAATCAACGTGGAAGAATTGTTTACAATTTATTTCAAAGACACAAAGTCAACTGAAGTATGCACAAGTAAAGTAAACTATGTACAATATGGAAGAAGGGGATTTACCAGTCATCCGTAGTGATAGGAGGTATGGACATCTGACTTCAAACAAAAGCTACTCAATATTGATGGATTCAACAGCACGCCGCAACTTTTCCTGGGAAAATAAAATCACGAAGTAAAAATTTATTTATACCGAGGTAATGGCATAAAAATAGTAAGACACATATTTGATGGGTGATTTGCGTGAAATAATCTATTCACATTTCGATAACAATTCATGTAGAGGTCATTATGGAGACTGAAACTTAGTATATACAACCAACTCCCTCTCTCTCTCTCTCTCTCTCTCTCTCTCTATATATATATATATATATATATATATATATATATATATATACAGTAACATTAAATAAGCTTGCGTAAAACACTTGGGATCGTGTTTCTTCTAAGGACTGGTAATACTATTTAGAGGGTAAGGTACCTAAATCGGTCAAAACCTCTAATTAGGTTTTACAAATAGTTTTGGGGAAACAACCAGAATATCCTGATAACAGATTTACCATATAACATAGCGGTATCCTATGGAAGGTTTGAAATTAGGTGGTGTATACTTTTGGGTGGGCTTAAGTGAGGGAATTATAGTATATGGATATCTAGGCAAGTGTGTTCTTAGGACTATGAAAATATTTATAATTTTTGTTGGGAGAATATCCTATTACAACACACGATCTGGGCAGAGAAAATCAAATGCATCACCAAAGTACTTACGATGATTGCAGCATTTGAGTTTCCAGCAGTGAGCTCATTCACTGTGTTTGTTTGACCAGTCTCCAGACTTCTTATACATCTTAAATTAACTCCAGATTTCATGTCTAACAGCTTTTTTTCAACTTCATATGCTCCATCAGCGTTTATAATTCCTACGACAGATACAGGTCTTGGTTTATGACATAAATGTGCTAATTTCTTCCTTGTATGAGTAATGATTATTGGTACTGGTGGTTCACATTCTTTTGCAAGTTCCCAAATCTGGGAAAGTATTTTTTCCAATGCACCAAGAGCTGTTCCAGTTCCGACTTCCTTTTCATCACTTCTAACTGAAATCTCAAAGTTATAATAAAAGAACATATTATTTGATCAAAAAAGCTCACCAATATAAAATTACTGGGGAGAATTAGTCAAAATATTGAAAATACCTTCGGAATGTTACCTGTGGATAAATATTTATTAATCAATAAGCTGTGCACGGTGGATAGTAAGCACACATTAACATTATTAAATGATACCGGCTGGTTTCATTCAATTCGTGATAAAACCTTTTGCTCGAGAGAGAAGCACTGTGGGCTAATTACTGCAAGTGTTGAATACGAATCTGCACTGACTGACCACTTTCTACTAACATACGTATATATATTGTCCCGTTACGATCGGAAGTCATTATTTTACTTAATACACAAATTATATGGGATAAGTTGGCACCAAAAATACAATGCACCACACAGCATAAACATATAACTGGAAAGAAAAGAGAAGCGTAAGCAGTAGAGCCGAGAAAAATTACTAGTGATCAAAAATAATATATAATAGAAGAGACATTTCATTTAACAATAGAACTGAATAAGACACCTCTCAGTTAAGTCCGTTTCATCTTTATGAATGATGTGAAGAAAAACTATGTCAGGATGGCCAGTAGTTTCTATTTGGATCGATGTCTGGTAGGTAATGTCTCAAGCCAATTAATCTCATCAAGGAGTCGTGATGGACTGACGGGTGCCAGTTCTACAAAACTTCCTTTCATACTCCGGCACTATATCATAAAATGACCACCTCTTCGCTTTTTCCAACCAGTCCCAGGGTTCGTTTTGGAAGCCATCGGGTTAACATTCGTAAAACATACCTGGTCTACTGAGCCCGGTGTTTCAGGATGGCAACATCAATTGAGTTATCACTACTGCTCCCGAACAACATTAAACAACAGCATCTCAGAGACAATGATCGAACACAGAGAGTTGCTTGACATCTTTAGCTTGTAGACCTCAGGCTTTCCAAGTATAGAGCAAAACTGCTTTCATTGACGTCGTAAACCTGACCTCTTATAGCTATACTAGCATCACGACAGCAGCAAAGATGACCCAGATTAGCCTAAGTCATTCTGGTTTTTAACACACTAAAATTGATCACTCACATCATCAACACTAACACAATCACCCAAACTAACTTCTCGACTACTTCTAACAGCTCACCACCAGGAGTGAGTGCAAACACGAGCTCCTGCAAATCTTGTAGAAGTACTTTGCATTTAAGTGTAGAGTACATCCCATTCGTAAGGACATAGGCAACTGATGAATTACGACTTACATAGCTTGAGTACCGTGGCAAACCAAAACAATTTTACCCGTGTACTCAAGATTTCGCTGACATAGAGCAGTGTTGGTCTCACGATGTGACATGATTCCAACTTTTTAAAGTCAAACTAACATCAAGGTGTCAAAGAGATCAGAAATCTTTCAACACAAACTTGATGTGAAAATAACATTTCACCACCAAATAAATTGTTCTAACCTAGAAAGGTATATAGAATATATAATGAGAACTTAAATGCGAAGATTAACGACAAGTAATTAGAGAAGAAATATCCAGAGAGCAACTTGTCTTGGGTAGCTGTGATCGTGAAACTATCATAATCGGAGACCATATTCAGCTGCAATAGCAAGATAATTATTTACTGGTCTTGGCTTGAAAAATTTAGGTTTGAAGGGAACTAGAAGTACCGAGTTCTCATTTGTGTACCCAGTCAGTCAGTCACAACGTAGAACTTCGTACATACGTAGATCAGTTCGAGTTGCTATACCACATTAGCACAGAGATACAGTTGTCGATTCAAATCCCATAATGGTAGAGGTAGTAAGAGTATAAGCAGTAATCGGAAAGATTAGGGTTTAAAGATGTTATTCAAGGAGTATAATCCAGTGAAAAAAAATTTGGAAAAAGAAAAAAGAAGGGGACATGCAGAATTCAAAAGATTATATATATATACTAAAACCCAGACGACCTAGCAGTAACTTTTTGAAAGTACAGACATGAAACTACTTAGATGACCACGGCAAGCCTCAGTATTCAACTTGCCTTCTCTGGCATCATTGGTCTTAAAAGCGATTGAGTTTTCAACTAAAGCAATGGATATATACAACTAGAGACTGGAGAGTATTACTAAATAATTACTAATACTCACTTTTATCGTGACATAAATAGCTGGTAGCATTGCCTTCAAGATCGCGAGCCACGAAGACGATTCGCATGTGTTTTAACTTTAAGTGTTTGATTACTTCATGAAAACCACAAACAAGACGCTTTGTTCGTTTGAGATGAAAGGGGCTATTAGCATGAGTTACATATGCTCTGTCTTGGAATGCAACCAATCGTGAAATCAACTCACTCACAAGATAGTTTTCGATTTCCGATGAAGAATTGGGTTCTTTTAGTGAACTATTAAAGCTATCAGGAGTACGGAACTACAAAACTAAAACTATTGAATAGGTCAGTTACCTCTGTGGTTTTCGTCACACTAGGAGATTCAGCGGTCGCAAAAGTAATTTCTACAGGGGCTGGAAGTGACCGACTTCGCTGAGCCTTGCGGATAGCGCGCTCATTCAAAATACAGCGTTTAAGAGGAGTAGGTCGCTTATTTCTAATCACTTCAAGTGGTTTACCTATCCTTTCAATATGCTTTTCAGAAAGAGATTTCTGACGTTGTAACGGGGTTGTGACTTTCAACTCATCATCCGTAATTATAAATTCTCCCAATTCTCTTATAAATGGGGCGTTGAACTGGAAGGATGGCCTCGAGATTTTCAAATTATTATTAGAGACTTTCTTTGATTTCCTATTCCCAGCACTCCTAGGAGTAATGCATTTATTTGCAATGCTGATGTGAGATAATTCCCTAGTCGAGGTCTTTGCACGGATGACTTGTGTGGATTTATTATTTTCTTTCAATGTTTCGGGAACGGCATTACTGGCTTTTGTCCTGTTAATCTGTTTCAAATGTTTAGTATTACGAGATAGTATTGTAAGTTGGACATTATCTATATCAGGAAAGGAGTGAGATGACGATGGTGACTGAAGTAAAGCACCACTACACCGGTCCCCTGTTAAATGAGGTTTCTTATCCTGACTCTTTTCGTATTTGCGTGCAGCTTTAATAGGTGTTGCATAATCCAACTTTTTTGCCCTTTCGTTGTCCGACGTTTTGCACATGTATGTTTCTACTCACGGAACTTTCATTGAATGGTTGAAATTAACACACGGTTACTCTGATTCTTCTTTATGTTTGGGAAATACTGGCAAGTTGGAAAATGAGACGTGAATCAATGTTTGAGTTGTCCTGCTTTCTGTGGAAAAAAGCAACATAGGGGTAACATTATTGTGATTTCCAAATAAAACACTATAAAATGGAGCTCTTGTAAAATATTTGTTGAAAAAAATGTTACTAGTCTATTTTTGTACATCTGATTATCTTATATTAACATGGTAGTGCGAAGAAAAACGGTAAACAACTTCTCAAGATACAAATAATTTTAAATATGCATACAAAAAGCCAACAGTCAGTCGGATTAATAAAAACCCTTTACTAATATCTCATAATAAGTTTTGTCAACCTTCAAAGAGCATTATACAAACTTATCACGAGTAAAATAAGGTTATGTAGTAATCAACGAAAGGTATTTACATATCTTACTGTTACAGTGTTTCAAAACAGATGTTTATGTCTATGCTACACACATTGCTTTCCCGACGTCAAACAAATTCCAAAATTTTACTATAGATGAAGAAATGTATTTGTAGTTGTTGTTAGGTTTTCAACAGAACTAAATTTATTCGGGAATAAATGTATTTAAACTGTCCATAAATTTGTTAAACACTAAGGAACAGTTATAGGCAGTTTATTTTTCGAATTATTCGACTTGATAGACTGAAAACTTACAAACACTGAAGATAATTAGTTACTGTTCTAATTTAAGTAAATGCGCTTACTTTTCGCAAAAACGGTATTCGTAATTGGTGGTAATCTTAATAGTTTTTTGATCAACATAAGGAATAAAGGTTAGAAGGGAGATAATGAATATTCGGGGTTTCGTTAGTCTGTAAATTCCGCACAATGGCCATATCCTGACTGTTTATTTTGTAATTCGTGTCAAGATTTATTCTTCCTATTAGCTGTCAAGAATCCAGCAGGAATGATTCATCTACATAAAAAATTTTCAAACAAATTATTTTCCACAATGATGACAGATGAAACTTGTTTAGATAACAGAGACAGCCATAGGAGCGAATCATTGGATAAGATGGAACAGTAGATGTGCGCTAATTCATTAACGGAATACTGAAAGTTTAACAGCTTGTAGTGAACAGGTGATTCTCTAATATTTCTAGTATTACAATAACTTGTTTCACTTAAGAATTGCTTCAATGTTTTTAATAATTGCACAGAAGAGGTATATTCAACTTGACTGTTCGTCCTCTTTGTAAAGGCAGAGAAATGTGGGATAGAATGACTGTGAGAGGACTTGGCATGAGGACATTATTATTCCACTTACTTTTCCTGATTAACTATGGGATCCGAAGTGGTATTAAACAAAAGCATGATTGCAAGCTAAAGATAGTAGGCATTTAAAATATAGTACATCGATTACTTACAGCTGTAAGAACTTTAGTGAACTATAACGAACAAGTAAGAGTAATCCTCAATGTATGATTTACGAGCTTGGTAACAATACCTTGACAAATATTCCAAAAGCAACCTTATAATCAATTTTGGTATTATAAGGCGGTCAAGATGATGTGGATTTAAGGAAATTGAGGGGGGTCTATTCCCCTTTCCAACTCCACCTGTAGCCCCTCCGGGGGCTACTGACGGTCCCAAGCCCGGATAAAGGAGGAGGTTTTGGCATGGGGTTAGCGACCCCATCCTGTAGAAAACCAACTCGCTGAAAAAACACTAACCAGAAAATACTATTCAAACAACTTAAACTTTGCCATGGGAGTTGAAGGAATAATTATAACGCCTCACGATAAGAGCTGAGTTCCTTTGGAAGTCATGAGGCCGATGCCCCTTCTAACAACCAGAGCAACAATTTTTATAAGTACATGGAACGATCGGACAATGTGGGAGACCGGAAGTCTTCCAAATTGCTGCAGAAATGAGGAAATACGACCTGGAGGTGCTTGGGATCAGTGTAACATACTGGACGCAGATTGGACAACAACGACTAGCTTCAAGAGAGCTTTTGTTATACTCCGGCCATTAAAAAGAAAATGCTACACATACACAAGGAGTTGCATTGATGCTGTCCCAACAAGCACAAAATACACTTATAAGATAAAAATCTCATGAACCAAGGATCATCAAAGCCTCCTTCAAAACAAGGAAAGAGGGCATTACAATGAATGTCATCCAATGCTATGCGCCTACCAATGACTACGATGAAGACGCTGAAGACCAATTCTACGGTAGGCTGCAGTCGATCTTCGAGAGGTGCCCAACAAAGGACCTGACCATGCTGATGAGAGATTTAAATGCCAAGGTTGGAAAGGACAACACTGGATACGAAGACGTCATGAGACAACATCGACTGGGAGAAAGGAACGAAAATGGTGAGATATTGCAAACCTATTTGCCTTTAATAAACTGGTCATAGGTGGCACCATATTCCCACACAAAAACATACACAAAGTCAATCGGATTTCACCGGATCACACTACACAGAACCAAATTGACCATATCTGCATCAACAAAAAGTTCAAGAGGACAATGGAGGATGTGAGAACCGGGAGAGGAGCTGATGTAACATCAGATCATCACTTACTGGTTGCCAAGATGAAATAAAAACTCAAAACGCATTGGACAACTGGGCGGACAACATCACAAAAGTTTAATACGGCCTTTCTTCGGAATAATGAGCAACATATCTACAATCGAAGAACATCTGGAACTCAAAACAATTATCAACCAACACCAAGGTTAGAATTTTCAATACAAATGTCAAAACAGTTCTACTTTATGGGGCGGAAACCTGGAGAACTACGAAGGCCATCAGTCAGTCAGTCAGTCACAACGTAGAACTTCGTACGTACGTACATCAGCTCGAGTTGCCATACCACATTAGCACAGAGATGCAGTTGTCGATTCAAATCCCATAGTGGTGGAAGTAGTAGGAGTATAATCAGAAATCCAAAAGATTAGGGTTTGAAGAAATTATTGAAGGAGTATAGTACAGTGAAATAAATTTGGAAAGAGAAAAACATAAAGACATGAGGAATTCAGAAGATTAGAATTTGGTGGAACACAAAGAGTGGATGCATCTTCGCCATTGCAAACGATTTTCAGCCATGTCATTCAAGGTCTCTAACCATCGGTTGCTGTCATCTCGCGAATCCCAACCAGGTAGTCTACACCTACCAACATGGCCCAGTCCACTTGTCAGTGACTTCATTGATTTGTGCCATGTTTTGGTCTGGCCACCCCTAGCTTTCTTCCAACCTACTCCTACACCATGAAACATTGCACGTCGGGGCAGTCGGTGGTCGGGCATACGTAACACATGTCCCAGCCATCTCAACTGATGAAGTTTCACTACTTCATCAATCGATTTGCCATCCCTACCTAGTACTCGTTTCCTAACAACTGCATTACTTACCCGGTGGTCCCAGGATATACGAGCAATGCTTCGAAGACACCTATGATCAAACACTAGTAGACTACGAATATCCTATACTCTTATTGGCCATGTTTCACTGCCATAAAGTAGGACGGAGCGAACTGCTGCACAGTAAACCCGTCCTTTGGTTGCTAGACGGATATCTCGCCTATGCCATAAATGACGCAAGTTGGCGAAAGCTAGACGAGCCTTCTGTATCCGTGCTGAGATTTCGTCACATACCAGACCACAAGGGCTGATGAGACTCCCAAGATAAGTGAAGTGGTCTACACGCTCAACTACTTCACTCCCTATCATTAGTTCAGGTGTCGCTGCAACCCAATCCTGAAGTAACATTTTGCACTTCGAGGGAGAGAATCGCATTCAGAACATGCCTGCATAGTTGCTTATAGTAGTCAGAAGACTCTGCATGTTGTCAGCGTCTTCACCGAGTAAAACTATGTCGTCGGCGTATTCTAAGTCAACAAGTGAGCCTCCTGGTAAAAGTTCAACTCCTGGAGGTTTAGCTGATGAAAGTGCTATCTCTAAAAGTATGTCAATGACAAAGTTAAACAAGAATGGGGTGAGTGGTCAGCCCTGACGAACGCCACTTGTGGTAATCAGTTCTGATGACAGTTCGCCATAGGCTCTAACTCGACCAGTTGTGCTCGAGTAGAGAGCCTTTATGAGGTTAATGTACTTCTTTGGTACTCCTTTCAGTGACAAACATTGCCATAGAACCTCACGATCAACAGAGTCAAATGCCGCCTTAAGGTCAAGAAATACTACTATTGTGGGACGTCTGAATTTGTGTCTATGTTCTAGAACCTGACGTAGGGTGAATATCTGGTCTATGCAACCACGTCCAGGTCGAAAACCAGCCTGGTTTTCTCTAGTCTGCTCGTCACGAGCTTTGGTTAGGCGACCTAGTATTATTGAAGCTAATATATTAGACACTATATTAGTCAAACTGATCCCTCTGTGATTGTCACAAGAGGACTTTTGTCCTTTCTTATAGACTGGCACAATCAGTGATTGGGACCAGTCAGATGGAATTACGTCCAGTTCCCAGATTCTACCTAAGACCTCAGTCAATCTCACTGCTAGTACTGGACCACCATCCTTAAAAATCTCAGGGGTCAACCTGTCAGGGCCTGCTGCTCTCCCTCGCTTCAGATTTCCTATAGCTTTTTCAACCTCACAGAGGGTTGGAGGACTTACATCAATTTGCCATTCAGGACGACTGGGGATCGTGGGTAATTGAAGTGTGGCTGAAGGCCAGTTGAACTGATCCCTAAAGTGTTCTGCCCATCGATCCAATCTCCTGGATTGAGAATGAATAATATGCCCATCTTTATCTGAGATGGTTTCACTGATATTCGGGTTCCTAATACCGGTTTCTTTAACGAGTCTGAATAGCTGCCTACTGCTACCTATTGCCGCTGCCTTTTCCATCTCTCTTGCTTTCGCTACCCACCACTGTTCACGATCATTACGTAGGCTTCTTATAAGCCTTCGCTTAAGTTGACTCCGCTCTTCGTTATGCTCAGAGCCAGGTGGGATGAGTTTACGAGCATCTATCAGTGCGGTAGATGCTGCCGAGATCCATTGTTTCTCCCTAACGTTATGGTTTACCTTACTAGCAGATATCACTGCTGTTTCCACAGCTTTTCGGATGTCATTCCACGCTGCCTCGGGGTGGACACAACTTACATGGCTGCCTAACTGTTTTCCTAGTTGTTCCTGAAATATATTCTTAGCTTGCCTATCATTAAGTAGAACCCTTAGAGGCTTCCCTGCAGTGTCTTTCCTACGTCCAGTAAGACGCAGACAGATACGTGCTCGCACTAGAGCATGATCTGAATCTAAGCATGTGCCCCAGAATGAGCGACAGTCTTCTATCGAGCCCCTCCATCGGTGGCTGATAGCGATGTGATCTAATTGGGTCCAATGTTGGGACGAATTCGGGGGTCGCCATGTCAAAAGATGTTTTTCCTTATGCTTAAAGTTAGTAATTGCAAGAAATAACCGGATATCTGAGCATAGCTGCAACAGACGGTCGCCATTATCTGTTCTTTTCGCCATGACACCATAAGATCCACCCAGGTGTCCTTCCCTTTCACTTAGTTTACCTACTTGAGCATTAAAGTCACCTGCTACTAATACTACATCAGAACGCCTAGCTTCTCGGAGAAGGTCAGAAAGTTTCCTGTAGAACTCATCTTTTATATCGTCTGAGCTGCGGTCAGTGGGAGAGTAGGCAGCGACGACGAAGAGGCAACGACGAGTTTCCCTATCTTTCCGGGTCCTTACTGATCCGTTTAGTCGGACAGCGCATAGACGACTCGCTACGGGGTTCCAGGCTAAAAGAGTTAGTTCTGCCCTACGACTTTAATGCTATACCTACTCCAGCGAGGCCACGGGAAGCAGCATCAGGGCTTCCAGATACACGAAGCGTGTATCGAGATGAAACTTTATTTTGATTAGGTGCGGTCAAATGAATGACACTACTCGGATCTTGGATGCGCGTTTTCGAGACGCAGCACACATCGATGGTGTAAGATTCTAGAGTCCTAGCTAAGGAAAGCTGTTGTCCTATTTGGCACAATGTTCGGACATTAAAAGTTCCTATATGTAGTTTAGAGCGTGGTTTCAGGGGCCCAGGAATAACGTTCCGTCTACTCGAATCGTTTGCCCTAGCGGTGCTAGGTGATAAAAGGACGTGTGAAGGGGTAGTCGTGGAGATAACAGAGTTATTAGGTGGAGGAAGGATTTGAAAGCGACCAACTTGGTCTTGTGTGCAGTTAAGGGTATGAGGGCTAGTATCACTTCCCGGCTGCCCACACCGTGGAAGGGTATTTCTTGAGGGACCTGAAAAAGAAGTTGGATTAGTGTTGGTCTTAACGACCTGGGAGCGTGACCGCAGAGCCCAAGGGACATCTGCTTGAGGCCGGTCACGCACGGCCTTTTTGTAGGGGATTTTTGATGTGTTAGCTCCGTTCTTCAAAAGTCCTTACCGCCGGAGACGGAAATCCGTGGGATAAGGCGAGGTGTGCATTTTTAGGGTCGACCTTTTCTAACCCCACCCCTCCTTGTGGGAAGGCAGCATCGATGTCATGCTGGTTGTCTGAAGGAAACACCTTACTGCTTTCACACCTCTGTACAGTCAGCAGTACGACTTCGCCTTCGGACCTTGGGATTGCTGCTTTTAGTCTCACCGCTCTTCAACCGACCTGTCTGGCATGGTAGGACCTTGAGGAACGATTGTTCCAGCCAGCATAGCTCGATTGGATCATCACGATAGGCAAGCCCGACCACCACGTCAAGGTAGCAGCAACGGTCGGGACGAAGGCCATCATTCAGAAGATACAAGTGTTTATTAACAGTTGTCTACGCAAGATACTTCGGATTCGTTGGCCAGACACTATCAACAACAACCTACTGTGGGAGAAAACAAACCAGAATTCGGCGGAGGAAGAAGGGCTGGAAGTGGATAACGCACACATTGAGGAAATCACCCAATTGCGTCACAAGACAAGCCCCCACATGGAATCCTGAAGGTCAAAGGAGAAGAGGAAGACCAAAGAACACATTACGCCGAGAAATAGAAACAGACATGAGAAGAATGAACAAAAAAATGGATAGAACTAGAAAAGAAGGCCCAGGACAGAGTGGGTTGGAGAATGCTGGTCGGCGGCCTGTGCTTCATTGAGAGTAACAGGCGTGAGTAAGTAGTTTCCTTTCCGTTCCTAATCACTGAGTTCTATTTCCAGTTTACAAATGGGTACTAATACACTACACAAGAAAATATTTGTTTAGAATCGGGTGGATTTATGTAGTGTTTGATCTTAGTTCTTCATTTAAGTGTCTAAATGGGAAAATTCGCATGGGATTTTTAGGGAAAAGCATTATGAGTCTGTCGTCTGAATGTGAGCCAATATAGTCTGGCCAAAAACTTCTGAATAGTGCATTAAGTGGTCACATGACGCATGAGATTTCCGTCTGGTTCAGTTGTTGTCAGTCAAACGGCTACAACGTAGGAGCAGGCACATATGCATCAGTACAAGTTGCCACACCTCATTAGCACAACAAAATGAACATCAACTTCATATAAGTAGTTACTTTAGCTATTCTGCCTATTACGTTATGACTCGTGGCTTCCACTCCGTTTTCTCTCTTGGTGTGAAGTTCTTGATTAACATTGCGTGTTGTGGTTTCAGATCATCTCCGCTTTTGTGACTGTTGATAACACGTGTTACGATATGACTAAATAGCATCTTGAAATTATAACTGACATCAGTTCGTGGTATGAAAAACAACTTGTAAAACCTAGACTTAGTAAATTTCGCTGGTTTATAACACTTTTGACCCTAAAAAATTTCACGCAGTTATTTTACTGCCACTGAGCTAGTTGGGATCAAAAGCAGCCCTATATGGTCATTCAGATAAAACTATTAGAATTATTATGCATGGTACTAATAATGGGGACCTATTCTTTTTATTGCTAGTCGAAGAGGGAAACGAGTTGGGACAAAATAAGCGAACCTAACGTATATTGGACTTGTGGGATAATGTATGAGGCTATTCCGTACATTGCCTTCCTTTTACACAGTATCTGTGTAATTTAATCTGTTGTGCTGCCATGTTATGTCCTCTCTTATCGAGTATTCACTGAATACAGTCTGTGGTTAAACTTTAGATCTTCCCTGTATCCCAGTAAACACTATTTACTTATGTTATACACATGTGAAACGCGTACGGTGGAGTGGAGGAGCGATCTAAAGCTCTGGCTTGAGGCTTCATTTCGAAAGATGGCGGTTCAGAGTCCCAACTCCATCACCACTTGTAACACTTGCAGCATTGACACACTTGATGGTAAAAGGAATCAATAAAAATCAGAAATAACATAAGCGTGAGATTAGGACAAACTGATATCCGAAAATAGTTGTTCGAATGTGCTTCAAACCAACCACAAAAATCCTTGTCATTAGTTTGGACCTAAATGATTGGATATTTAACTTCTAACTATGGACTCCAAATAACATTCACGTATTTCAGATTTAGATTTGTGTAGTAAGGACAGAAGGCCTACGGCTTATGTTATTCCTTTTCTAGTATGCTTCTGTGAATGGCAAGTGTTCTCTTGAATGAGTCAATTGAAAGTGCGGACACCACTGCTTCGGGCATCAGGTTCCAAGTATTGATGACTCGGTGTGAAAACCTGTAAGCCACGGGTATTTTGTTCGTTAATGGCTGTTCTACTGGCCTGTTATGTCCTGATCTAGTGAGAAGAAAAAGAGAGAATAAGTTAGGTTCAAAATTATTTCTCAGGATTCTGTACATCAAAATTAGGAATCCCCCTAGTCTACGATACCACAGAGTAAAGAGATCCAGCTTTTTAAGCCGCTCTTTTTATATTAAACCCCGGAGTTCTGGAATGGCATGGGTAGCTGCCCTCTGTACATTTTCTAGGATATCCGAGTCATCTTTTAAACAGGGGCATGAACGCAGTTCTCAAGCTTAGTTCTCACAAGGGTTGTGTATACTGTAGTGAACATGGTAGTATGTAACTTAGTTAATAACCGTTTTAAAGCCCAGAGGGTTCTAAACTCCTTAACTGCAACCTACCGGCGATGGGCCGTGGCCATATGATCAGGACTCACTGTCATCTCTAGATCCTTATGAGACCGGACCACGGGTACTCGCACTTCCTCTAAGCTGTACCTATTTACCTTTGTATCCCCAAAGTGCACGTAGACACACTTTGCCGCATTGATAGGCATCAGCCACTCTTCAGACCAGTTAATCACATTATTTAAGTCTGCCTGAAGAGTACATGCGTCTGCGTCTTCAGTTATTTCTCGCTAGATTTTTACATCGTCAGCATATAGTAATATTGGGGACTGTACTATACTTGAGATCATTTACATACAGTATGGAAACTAAAGGATGTAGGATCGAACCTTGAGGTATTCCACTAAGTACTGGTCTTCAGGTGGAGTACTTGGAATTTATTCTTACTTTCTCTCTACGACCTACTAGGAAATACTTGGGCCGGTCCGGCAATACCAAGATTTTCTAACTTCCGTAACAGTCTATTTGTTGACACCTTTTCAAAAGCTTACTGAAGTCTGTGTAAACAACATCCATTGAGTTTCCGCTGTCTAGCGCCTTTACCCAAAATTTCCATGCTATAAGGAGGTTCGTCGTACAAGATAAACCCTTTTTAAAAACATGTAGTTCGTTGTTTAACAGGTTATTGGTTTCCATAAATGTTATTATGGTCTTTTTAATTATTCTTTCCAATATGTTAATTACAACACTGATGAGGATTACAGGTCTGTAGTTTGATGGAAGTTGTCTTGGTCCTGTTTTATGTATGGGAGTGACGATTGCATCCTTCCAGCTCGTGGACAACACCTTGGTCAAGTGACACATTGGATGTCACAATCAGTAGGGCTGGGATTGTAGTTCATCCAGTCCTGTTGATTCTTCCAAAAAATGGATAGAACTAGAAAAGAAGGCCCAGGACAGAGTGGGTTGGAGAATGCTGGTCGGCGGCCTGTGCTTCATTGAGAGTAACAGGCGTAAGTAAGTAATTGACAGTCATTCCCAAAAACTTCCAAAAATCTACAGTACACCAACGTTTAACGTTATGAAAATACAGTGCTTGAGTGTATCATCAAGGTTGTTTCGGCAATGTTTGGCATTGCGTATTTTAAATTTAATGCCCAGCTTCTCACCTACCATCTACATTAAAAATGAACAAATAAAGGGGAACGGTATATGTACTTAAATATTTCACATAACAGCAAAGTAACGTCTAGAATCTCACTGATACATTTGACGTTCAGTGAAATCTTGTTTCATTCATTATGCGTATATTGGTATAAAGTTTGACAATATGTGCTCAACTGGGGCTTATATTTCGGTCGTTCCGACACGACAGTATCGTACATCACTAAATGAGACATTTGAATTTTAACTTGTGGATCGTGGAAATTGAATCTCACTGTCTATCAGAATGTGGATTATCAGGCTGCACAGAATTACGGTTACAAACTGTTTTAGTGATTGAGTTCCATAGAGTTGTGCATTACTAGACAATAGTAAGAATCAACGTGGAAGAATTGTTTACAATTTATTTCAAAGACACAAAGTCAACTGAAGTATGCACAAGTAAAGTAAACTATGTACAATATGGAAGAAGGGGATTTACCAGTCATCCGTAGTGATAGGAGGTATGGACATCTGACTTCAAACAAAAGCTACTCAATATTGATGGATTCAACAGCACGCCGCAACTTTTCCTGGGAAAATAAAATCACGAAGTAAAAATTTATTTATACCGAGGTAATGGCATAAAAATAGTAAGACACATATTTGATGGGTGATTTGCGTGAAATAATCTATTCACATTTCGATAACAATTCATGTAGAGGTCATTATGGAGACTGAAACTTAGTATATACAACCAACTACCTCTCTCTCTCTCTCTCTCTCTCTCTCTCTATATATATATATATATATATATATATATATATATATATACAGTAACATTAAATAAGCTTGCGTAAAACACTTGGGATCGTGTTTCTTCTAAGGACTGGTAATACTATTTAGAGGGTAAGGTACCTAAATCGGTCAAAACCTCTAATTAGGTTTTACAAATAGTTTTGGGGAAACAACCAGAATATCCTGATAACAGATTTACCATATAACATAGCGGTATCCTATGGAAGGTTTGAAATTAGGTGGTGTATACTTTTGGGTGGGCTTAAGTGAGGGAATTATAGTATATGGATATCTAGGCAAGTGTGTTCTTAGGACTATGAAAATATTTATAATTTTTGTTGGGAGAATATCCTATTACAACACACGATCTGGGCAGAGAAAATCAAATGCATCACCAAAGTACTTACGATGATTGCAGCATTTGAGTTTCCAGCAGTGAGCTCATTCACTGTGTTTGTTTGACCAGTCTCCAGACTTCTTATACATCTTAAATTAACTCCAGATTTCATGTCTAACAGCTTTTTTTCAACTTCATATGCTCCATCAGCGTTTATAATTCCTACGACAGATACAGGTCTTGGTTTATGACATAAATGTGCTAATTTCTTCCTTGTATGAGTAATGATTATTGGTACTGGTGGTTCACATTCTTTTGCAAGTTCCCAAATCTGGGAAAGTATTTTTTCCAATGCACCAAGAGCTGTTCCAGTTCCGACTTCCTTTTCATCACTTCTAACTGAAATCTCAAAGTTATAATAAAAGAACATATTATTTGATCAAAAAAGCTCACCAATATAAAATTACTGGGGAGAATTAGTCAAAATATTGAAAATACCTTCGGAATGTTACCTGTGGATAAATATTTATTAATCAATAAGCTGTGCACGGTGGATAGTAAGCACACATTAACATTATTAAATGATACCGGCTGGTTTCATTCAATTCGTGATAAAACCTTTTGCTCGAGAGAGAAGCACTGTGGGCTAATTACTGCAAGTGTTGAATACGAATCTGCACTGACTGACCACTTTCTACTAACATACGTATATATATTGTCCCGTTACGATCGGAAGTCATTATTTTACTTAATACACAAATTATATGGGATAAGTTGGCACCAAAAATACAATGCACCACACAGCATAAACATATAACTGGAAAGAAAAGAGAAGCGTAAGCAGTAGAGCCGAGAAAAATTACTAGTGATCAAAAATAATATATAATAGAAGAGACATTTCATTTAACAATAGAACTGAATAAGACACCTCTCAGTTAAGTCCGTTTCATCTTTATGAATGATGTGAAGAAAAACTATGTCAGGATGGCCAGTAGTTTCTATTTGGATCGATGTCTGGTAGGTAATGTCTCAAGCCAATTAATCTCATCAAGGAGTCGTGATGGACTGACGGGTGCCAGTTCTACAAAACTTCCTTTCATACTCCGGCACTATATCATAAAATGACCACCTCTTCGCTTTTTCCAACCAGTCCCAGGGTTCGTTTTGGAAGCCATCGGGTTAACATTCGTAAAACATACCTGGTCTACTGAGCCCGGTGTTTCAGGATGGCAACATCAATTGAGTTATCACTACTGCTCCCGAACAACATTAAACAACAGCATCTCAGAGACAATGATCGAACACAGAGAGTTGCTTGACATCTTTAGCTTGTAGACCTCAGGCTTTCCAAGTATAGAGCAAAACTGCTTTCATTGACGTCGTAAACCTGACCTCTTATAGCTATACTAGCATCACGACAGCAGCAAAGATGACCCAGATTAGCCTAAGTCATTCTGGTTTTTAACACACTAAAATTGATCACTCACATCATCAACACTAACACAATCACCCAAACTAACTTCTCGACTACTTCTAACAGCTCACCACCAGGAGTGAGTGCAAACACGAGCTCCTGCAAATCTTGTAGAAGTACTTTGCATTTAAGTGTAGAGTACATCCCATTCGTAAGGACATAGGCAACTGATGAATTACGACTTACATAGCTTGAGTACCGTGGCAAACCAAAACAATTTTACCCGTGTACTCAAGATTTCGCTGACATAGAGCAGTGTTGGTCTCACGATGTGACATGATTCCAACTTTTTAAAGTCAAACTAACATCAAGGTGTCAAAGAGATCAGAAATCTTTCAACACAAACTTGATGTGAAAATAACATTTCACCACCAAATAAATTGTTCTAACCTAGAAAGGTATATAGAATATATAATGAGAACTTAAATGCGAAGATTAACGACAAGTAATTAGAGAAGAAATATCCAGAGAGCAACTTGTCTTGGGT